TCAAAGAAATTTTTTTTTCCAGGTGTACTAATTAGATAAATATAATTTTTTTTTGGTAAATTTTTCTTTTCGGTAATAGCAAAAATGATTTACAAAAGAAATTAATTTTGAAAATTAAAGTATCATTGTAATAGGTTTTTTTTTGTTGGACAAAGCATTAGTCGGCAGATTTTACTTTCACAAAATTAGACTTGCTGCTTCTTCACGCCGGTGTGCTTTCTGAATAATGAATATATAACTTTTTCACAGTCACTTCTTTTCTGGGTTATCTACGTTTGTTATGGCAAATTTGAGTAGAGGAGCACATCATCCACACGTCAACTCTTTTTGGTGAAACTATTTTCATATTTGTTCACATCCATGTCGAAATGTCGACATAAAGAGAATATATTTTTGATAAAAAAAAATATTTTTGATTTTGATTATATAGTAAAAAACTAATCTTTCAATCAAACATTTTCCTCGTCAGAGAATCTTTTCGATATCTTTTTTTTGCTCGATGATAAAAGATTTCGAATTAAATATTGGATTAATTTTTCTTGTTTGTGGATTGATTTTGGGTCTTGCGTGCATAACCACGAAACAACTCAGACGGTTGAAAGCTCTCTCAATGTGTCCAGTCATTATGGCGAGTTTACATTGCACCCCATTTGTCTTTGGTTGGTTTCCATTGTCCCCACTCGTCATTTGTCATAATTCTCGTCAACTACCGCACCCTGCTCTAGTAAAAATTTAGTAACTTTATAATTAAAATTAAAAGTTACTATAAAGATACTAAATTTTTACTAGAGCAGGGTGCGGTAGTTGACGAGAATTATGTCAAATGACGAGTGGGGACAATGGAAACGAACCTCTTTCTCATTGGCTGTTGAATATGCTAACCCAATGTAAATTATAACGTCACGCCAATCATGTTTCTAATTGGCCGGATTCATGAAAAACTTTTTCCAACTTTTGTGCGGAATTTTCATATTGTTGTTAACTTGTATTTATAATTTATACTGACGCACAATAAAATTTGTCCCCACTCCTCATTTGTCACAATTCTTGTAAACTACCGCACCCTGTTCTAGTAAAAATTTTGTACTTTATAGTAACTTTTAATTTTAACAATAAAATCACTAAATTTTCACTATAGCATGTAGTTGAAGAACATTATGACAAATTGCTTCTTAAGGTGCTTCTACAATAAGTACTAATTTTATACAATAATTTTATGAAACTAGTTTCATGGCATTTTTCTTGGTTCTTATTGTAGAAGGACCTTTACGATGTACTCAGGGTTGGTTTCCATTGTCCACACTCGCCGTTTGTCATAATTCTCATCAACTACCGCACCCTGCTCTAGTGAAAATTTAGTAACTATATAGTAACTTTTAATTTTAACAATAAAATCACTGAATTTTTACTAGAGCAGGGTGCGGCAGTTGACGATAATTATGACAAACGGCGAATAAGGATAAATGAAGTATGTCACCTACTCATCCCTGGTCTTAAGCCCTAATTACAATAGAATCGCGAAAGTGATACATGAGATAGAAAAGAATAGATATATACTTATATCCTTTTCTATCTCATACAGTACATTCGCATTTTTTTTTAAATTTTACCAAATACTAAAAAACGAATATGAAAAAAATTTCTTTTTAGAGAAACTTTTTACCTATTGAAACAAAAGTTAATTTTCTCCTATATATATATACAAATCGTATAATCATTATTATGAGTCAAGGAATTGGCACTTACCTCGTTTTTCATCGATCGCTCGTGTTTCATCGTCGATCACCCGTGGAAAACGTTCCTATAAGGCCGAGATAAGCAAAAGCTAGCTGAATGGCGCTGCATATATGTAGCATTATACATATATATACTAACGCTCACTATATATACTATATAGCCCATACAGCACACGCTTAACTTTTATCCCAGTGTCGGATACCATTTAGATCGTATTTCAATACCCTATCTTTATCTCAATCTGTACCAAGGGAAGGAGGAGGGGGTGGGGGGGAATAATTCAAATTATAACCTGAAAATTTTTTTTGCACCGTCGCATTTGACTATTTCAATCTTCTCCAGGAGTAAGAGATATCTTTTCGTAAAAATGACTATTTCAATTTAAAAAAAAAATTATTTTATTTATACAAAACTAACGGGCTTTATGACCCTGATTTTTTTTAACTATTGTATTCTTTTTTCATATAAATTTTTTTATATTAAATTCATGTTTTTATTTACCAATACTAATCGAGGGCATTTTTGACGGTAATATTTTTTTGCAAAAATAATTATTAAAATAATTTTTTTAATTACTTTGTTATAAATAACTATTATAAATAAATGTATTTAAATTATAACAATTTTTTGTAGTAATTAGAATAATAATTAACGAACGAATAAATCGAGTTGTACAGAATCTGGACATGCGTAGTAAAGTTAAATAGAAATTGGACATGCGCAATAGAGTTGTATAGAAATTAGACATGCGCAGTAGAGTTCTACAGTATCTGAACATGCGCAATAGATTTGTAAAACATCTGGACATGCGCAATAGATTTGTACAGCATGTGGACATGCGCAGTAAAGTTGTACAGTATTTATACATGCGCAGTAGAGTTCTACAGTATCTAGACATGCGCAATAGGTGTGTAGAGCATCTGGACATGCGCTGTAATGTTTCACAGTACTTAGATATGCGCAGTAGTGTTTTTCTCATAGAATAATAGACATGCTTCAAAATTTTTTCAAAAATTTGTTTTTAAATTAATAAAAAATATTTTTCTTCTCTAAGATAGCTATGTAAATACATATATATATATGCTCCCGCGTTATTGTGTGTATGTTAATGCAGAGCCAAAGCATGAGTGCATAGAATAAAAGAGGTCTCAATCGTGGCAAGACATAACGCAATAATAATCACGATGCCAGATCGATACGCGATAGACACACTACCGTCGTCAAGCGATGGATGCCATTACATGGATGGATGCATGAAAGTCTGGAATGTCGGGTGTCACATAACATTCCTTGGAAAAATTCTACTCTACAACATAAATTTATATATAATTTTTATTTCACCTGTGTCGTACAATATTATCATCATTCTTAATTATTCTCTCTTATTTTTTTTTAAAACAATAAATTCAATTCAAATACTGTAATATTTTTTTCATTTTATGTAAATTAAGTTAATAATGTCAATAACAAGTATTTTGTTAACAAAACAAAAAAAATTTTTAAATATGAATTTATTTCATAACATTTATCAAAATTACATTTTCAAAGAAAAAAAAAAATTGTTATAAATAGAAAATTCAGTAGTTTATTTTTTTATATGAAAAATGATTTATTAGAGGTAGATCAAGAATTAATTACTAGATTTTTAATGCAATGCACACACGACGCTTGCTCGTTGGGTGGGAACAACTTAGTCATTAACGTCGGAAAGATTTTTCAAGTCATGTCGATTCGTATAAATAACAACAGCGATACGCGTCTTTCGAAAGATTTGTATTTTTTTTTTTCTTCAATCGTCTCCTCCAATCAAAATGAGTGGCATTCTCTATTTGATTTTTCAATAATTATGCCGCTAACATTATATAATTAAATTTCATGAATTATTCGATTTTATAATATTCAATAAATAGTTTCTATCTTAGATAATAATTTAATGAATTCGTATTACATTTTTCTGTAATGCGTTACTTTTTGGTAACGATAACGTGATATTTTTAATTTTTTTTTTAAATTTAACTAATTACTGTCAAAAAAATTAATTTTTTAAATTAAAATTCTCATTTCGTTATATTATTCTAAATTAATTTTATTTACGTTTGAATTGAAGAAGAACTTTTATGACTTTAATTGAAATTGTTCATTTTGATGGAATTTTCTAAAGATAATAAAGTTCGGGATAAAAGTATATACTTTTTAAATTATTATATATATATATACGATCTTTATCTATTAACTGTAAAATATTGGTGTATGTAATTTGGCGTCATGTAATTCAGAAGCCTTTTATTATTTTACAAGGATCTTTGACCTTTTTTTATCCTTTCTATGATCTTTAGAAAATTAATCCCATACTCAAAAAATGCAATTATAACTGTATCAATCATAATTCAGATCGATTTTTGTTATCAGTAATCATTTGTAAAATCAATCCTAAGAAATTTGGTGAGAATTTTAAAAAGTTTATAATTTTTATTTAGAAAAAAGTTTTTCTTTTAGTACTTTTATATTACATTTGAAAAACTAGAAACTAAATCCTAGGGAGTAAAATTACTTCTTCTAGTCGCTGATTTAATAAATTTTTAATCATTTTGTCGCCATATTGGATCCACCATTTTGAATTTTTTAAAAACTGACATGAAATTCGTAATCAGCGACCCCAAAAACCCCCGAGTGATGAGTTTCAAGTGAATTCGATAAATTTTTACAAAATTTGTGCGCTATATTGGATCCGACATTTTGAATTTTTTAAATCTGACCTCAGATTCGTAATCAGCGACCCCAAAAACCCCCGAGTAACAAGTTTCAAATGAATCCGATAAATTTTTTAAAAATTCGTCCGCCATATTGGATCCGCCATTTTGAATTTTTGAAAATTGACCTCAAATTCGTAATCAGCGACCACGAAAATCTCCGAGTAACGAGTTTCAAGCAAATTTAGTAACATTTTACAAATTATTCCGCCATATTGGATCCGTCATTTTGAATTTTTAAAAATCGACATCAAATTCGTAATAAGCAACCCCAAAAACCCCCCAAGCAACAAGTTTCAAGTAAATTCAACCAATTTTTTAAAAAAATGTCCTCCATATTGAATTCTCCATTTTTAATTTTGAAGATAAGAAAACCAAATAAATTTGCTCTAATAAATATGAAATATATCGCTTTGCAAACATCATAAATATTTGTACAGTGTTTTAAAAATATCAAGTCACTGGTGTAGAAAAAAATAAAACATTTAAAAATATATTACTTTATAATTTCAGGAAACAATGAGGAGCTTATGTGAACTGATGAATTTGACTTCGTGGTGTTTGAGGATGTTATTGGAGTGATTTATGTGGGGGTGACAATTTTCTAATTTCGTGAATAGTGTGCGTGTAATAAAAAAAAAAAAAGAAATAAATAAAAAGAAAAAAAACAAAAGTGGTTCAGGGAGTGCCTCACGATTGAAATGGATGGTGTACCAAAGAAGGAGAGAGAAGCAGTGCTAATATATGGATGCCCATGGATGGAATTTGGCCGAAATGTGCCAGCGTTATCATCACGCTGTACCGGGAGGAGCGGCGGCTCAAAATTCCCCAGCTAGGGACCCTATTCAGGGCCTCACCACTGCCTCCCATCTCAATCAGCCCAGCCCTTCTTATTCACATTATACGTGAGTATTATTTATTTTTCAAAACATTTCCCAACCCTGCGAATTTATTGCCTTAGGACACGCCGCATTTGTTATAATTCTCTTCAACTACCGCTCCCTGCTCTAGTGAAAATTTAGTAATTTTGTAGTTAAAATTAAAAGTTACTAGAAAGTTACTAAATTTTTACTAGAGCGGAGTGTAGTAGTTAACGAGAATTATGACAAATGTCGAGTGGGGAGAATGGAAACCTATTTTTTTTTTATGCTTTTTAAAAATATATTTTAATATTTTCAACAGTTATTATTTTCTTTTTACTCTTTATTATTATTTAATAGTCTAGTTATTAAAGAAATTTCTTTATTTGTATTCTAAAGGTGAAATCACATTGTCCACACTCGCCAAAAGCCCCACTCGCCATTTGTCATAATTCTCGTCAACTACCGCACCCTGTTCTAGTGAAAATTTAGTGACTTAATAGTAACTTTTAATTTTAATAATAGTCACTAAATTTTCACTAGAGCAGGGTGCGATAGTTGAAGAGAATTATGGCAAATGGCTTCTTAAGGTACTTCTGCAGTAAGTAACAATTCTATACAATATCCAATTCTATACAGTATCCAGTGTCATGGCATTTTTCTTGGTTCTTATTGTAGAAGTACCTTTACGATACTACTGTGCTTCTTTTTCCCCAATCGCCAAAATTTCCACTCGCCATTTGTCATAATTCTCTTCAACTACTGCTCCCTGATCTAGTAAAAATTTAGTAACTTTATAGTAACTTTTAATTTTTATAATAAAGTCACTGAAGTTTCACTAGAGCAGGGTGCGGTAGTTGACGAGAATTATGACAATTGTCGAGTGGGAATTTTTGCGAGTGTGGACCAACCCTGAGCACAGTAGTATTGTAAAGGTATTTCTCCAATAAGAACCAAGAAAAATGCCATGACACTGGATACTGTATAGAATTGGTACTTACTGTAGAAGTACCTTAAGAGGCCATTTGTCATAATTCTCTTCAACTACCGCACCCTGCGCTAGTGAAAATTTAGTGACTATTATTAAAATTAAAAGTTACTATTAAGTCACTAAATTTTCACTAGAGCAGGGTGCGGTAGTTAACCAGAATTATGACAAATGGCGAGTGAGGACAATGAAAACCGCAACCACTAGTGTCGATAAAAGGGAAGTTTCACATTTCAGACGTTGTATTATGTTTATCCTAAAATTTCAAAAAAGGGATTCCCCTATCTGGCAACCAATCAGAAAGAATAGTAGTGTGAACGTTTCCTAACAATGAGATAGAAAATTTTTCTCTCCTTCTCTATCGCATTCTTATGTTTCATTTCTTTTAATTTTTACACTACAAAAAAAAATGGAGAAAGCGTTTTCGATTCGTGTATATAAAATTCCGAGGGGCAAAGGAGAGAAAATAATAACGAAAATATATATTCAATTTACGTATTTGAAAATTGACGTTAAAAGATATAGAGGGAATAAATCTCACAGTACTTGAATATAATTGAGTAAAATCGAATTGTTGCCGGAGGCTTATCGCGACTTTAAGCCGTCGGAATTGTATTATATCGCATTGCATATTAATAACGATATGGTCAAATTAGGGATAAGTATATGTGTACCTACGATTCCGCGGTCAGGCCCCGTAATCCTGTTATTAGCGCGGCGATTAGGGGAAAGATGATCTCGGGGCAAATTGTAGGGGCGTACCCCACTGTTTGGTTAGTGTAATCGCCAATCGCCAACTCTTGGCGATTCCACGCAAAGTCCTCTTCTTCTTCTTCACTCTATACACAGCAAGGTGATGCGCGTTTTCTCTTAACCCCTCGTTACTCTTTTTATATACCCGCGTAGATTGAACGCGACGTTTCTCTCCTTTCTTATACTCCCACGCACAACAATATATATATGTACATAATATTGATATTTTGCTCGTTATGAATTTCCTTCAATCAATATTTCACATATATGTATAACAAGGGATATTTTCTCTTCCTTATTATGAAAAAAAAAATTTAATTCCTGGGTAAAGATTTATTTTCAGAAAAATCAAAATAAATTTGTAAATATAAAAAAAAAATTTCTTTGAAACAAAGAAATCGTTTTTTTAAAACCACTTTGATGGAAATTTTTTTGAATTAAAAAAAGTTTTTGCTTTTATGAAAAAAATGTTCAATTGTATTTTGAATTAAAGAAATTTTTTGTTTGAAACAAAGAAATCGTTTTTTTTTAAATCACTTTTTGAATGAAAGATGAAATTTGTTTGAATTAAAAAAAGTTTTCTTTGCTTTGTGTAGACTACGTAAATTCGTAAACAGCTGTATGTGCCTCAGCGCGATAATTATAATCGGATTTATGATCTAAACAGTTTTTTTTGTTTATTTCTTTGATTCAAATAAATAATTTCGTAAAATCAAAGAACTATTTCGTTGAGTCAACAAAAAATAAAGTGAAGAAACAATTTCTAAATCAAAGAAAATTTTTCTTTAACTCTATAATAATGGACAAATTTATTTGATTTATTGAAATTATTTCTTTGATTTAAAGAAATTATTTCATTGAACAACGAATTTTTTTCTGGATGAATCAAACATTGTAGATTTTTTTTATATTGAATCATTTATTATAGCGTAGTATTTGTATTATAAATGTGTTTCTACTTCTTTGCAACAATGCGGCACGAATTTTTGAATAAGTCACTCATTTTTTATTTTATTTCAAATTATTAATTATCAAGTTTTCGATCTGAAACACATCGCAGGATGTGCAGGTGAATCTACAGCGTGTATTAATTTAAATTTGAAATGTATAAATTATTTTAAAATTTACATATAAAATTAAAGTATTATTAATATTAAATATAAATTTGTTTTTTTATTTATAACACTTAAAATTTGATACAAGAGATAAAAAAAAAAACTTTTTTTTCGTCAGTTTATTGTGTGACAAATCAGTGTTTGAGATTAAATCAAAATGAAAGTTATATGCGAAAAACATTTAAATGCATTAAATGCAAAGTATTTAGGGAAAAATGTAATTTTTTCGTGATATGTATAATTCTTCTTGACAAGCGTTGTACGATGTCACGATTATCGTTCCGCTTCGTTCCATTACTATGATCACGGCCGTCGCATGCAACGCCGACCGTATCGTCGAATATGGCACTTATACCTATACTGAATATATCCAAGTTGAAAAAAAAAAATTTTTTTTTTTTTCTAAAAAATAATTGAAAAATGCGCATCTAACATATATTTTAGAGAATTATTTATTATTATAATTATTTCTTCTATTTATCTTATAAAAAATAAATTTATAATTCGTTGAATAAAAATTTTTAAAACCGCGTATTTTTTATTTTTGCTCTTTTTCTGTTATTTAACTATTATTTATTTCTTGCCTCTTTTTTTCAAGTTTCAATTTTTTTATTTTTTTTTTTTATTTTCTGGTACTTTTAGTTTTATTACCATTTATTTTTATTAGTATTTAATTTTATTTATTTAATTTTTAATGGTTTCTTACAAATTTATAAAAATTCAAATTTTATTGTTTCGATATGTGACACGTGTTCTCAGGAAAGGATAACCTAAGAAGCAAAAAAAAATGTAGGTTATGTTTATGATAGTTTAGAAAAAATATACAAATAAGATTTTTAATATTAAAGATAATAAATAATTAATATAATGAATAATATAATAAATAAAATTTAATACTAAATAGAAAAAGAAATTTTCAATTATGGTAAAACAATCATAAACATAACCTATAATTTTATACTTTTCGAATTACATTTTGAAAAAAATTTTAAATACAACAATAAAATTAAATCGATACAAAATATTTAATTTTTTTTTATTTTTATTAGATCCTGTAATATTTATATTTATTTAAATTTTTTTTTTGCACTTTTACTTCCTCTTTTTTTGTCTTACAATTTATCAATGCACATATCTGTAAAATATTTTTTTTTCTTCTATTTCACATTCTCTTAATTCTTTTTTTTCTTCCTTTAATATTATAATTTTTGCTTGAAAAGAAAAAAATTTTTTTTTTTTTTTATTGACTTTTTAAAAGACTTTTCTGAGAAGTTGATGCGCCAAACGGATTGTTCCTTTGAATAATGTTCTTGAGATGTCATAAATCCAAAACAATGAACAAATGAACTTGATTTGCAAGTAAGGATTATATGTAGTACAAACGTCAATAATTCTGGGAAAGAAACGTTTTCTTTTGCGATAATTGATACCCATCTATATGTTTTCTTACAATTCTATTTTTACATGTCATTATAATTATTAATATTATGCGAAAAAAACAAACACATTTCTCCTATTTACAAATTTTTCTTTTTATTTTTTCTTTATTACATTATACTTTTTTGTATTTTAATAATTATTACATAAATTCAGTGACGATAATATTTTATTTATTTATTATAATTATTAAATATTTGTTATTTTATTATTAATTTATAAATTATTAATTTTTAATTTTATATTTAATTATTTTATTTCAATTTTTCATAGCTTCTGCTATATAATAATTATAATTTACAATTGTAATCCTAAAGTCTAAGAAATTTCCAAAAATTTCATTTTAATGAAATTAATTTAAATTTTAATGAAATTAATTTTAATTTTAATTAAATAAATTTTAATGAAGTTAATTTTAATTTTAATGAAATTAATTTTAATTTTAATGAAATTAATTTAAATTTTAATGAAATTAATTTTAATTTTAAATAAATAAATTTTAATTTTAATTAAATAAATTTTAATGAAGTTAATTTTAATGAAATTAATTTTAATTTTAAATAAATTTTAATTTTAATTAAATAAATTTTAATGAAGTTAATTTTAATTTTAATGAAATTAATTTTAATTTTAATGAAATTAATTTTAATTTTAATGGAATTAATTCTGATGAAATTAATTTTAATGGAATTAATTCTGATGAAATTAATTTTAATTTTAATGGAATTAATTTTAATTTTAATGGAATTAAT